TGGCGGATGCGCGTGGATTTCACAGATTTGAACAAAACATTCCCCAAGGATTCGTTTTCATTATCCCATATCGACCAACTCATCGACTCAATGGCTGGGCATGAATTACTGAGCTTTTTAGATGCCTATTCAGGCTACAATCAAATCCTCATGGAAGAAGAAGATCAGGACAAAACCACATTCATCACCCATCAGGGGACATACTGCTACAGGGTCATGCCCTTCGAGCTAAAAAACACAGGGGCAACTTACCAAAGGTTGGTTACAAGGATGTTCAAAGACCAGCTCGGCAAAACGAGGGAAGTCTATATAGAAGACATGCTAGTCAAGTCTAAAAGGAAAGAAGATCATATCGACCATCTATGAGAAACCTTCGACATACTCAGACGATACAGAATGAAACGGAACCCCGAAAATTATGCGTTCGGCGTGGCCTCGGGAAATATTTTGGGTTTTTTGGTATCACAGCGAGGAATCGAGGTCAATCCTGATCAAATCAAAGCCATCGAGGGGATATCAGAACACTTGACCACCAAAAATAGGATTAGAGGTTGACAGGCTGTATCGGCGTCTTTTCAGGATTCATTTCTCGATCATCGTGTCACAGATTCTTCGGCATACTCAAGAAGAATAACGGCCTCCAATGGACTTCTGAATACATCCAGGCCCTGAAGGAGTTGAAAGCATACATGTCTTCACCACCACTGCTTTCAAAGTCGGAACCAGGGGAACGTCTCCTCGTTTACCTCACTGAATCCGAAGTAGCTGTGAGCGTAGTCCTGGTTCGAGAAAATAAAGGTACACAGTCTCCCATCTATTACATTAGCAAAACACCAGTCGATGCCGAGACAAGGTACCCTCACCTCGAAAAATTGGGCCTGGCCTTAGTCATAGCTTCGTGAAAGCTTAGACCATATTTCCAGTGCCACCCCATCTCGGTCGTCACGACTTTTCCTCTAAGGTGAATTTTGCATGAACCCGAGCTATCGGGAAGGTTGGCCAAATGACAAGTCCTTGCTGACTTCATCGCCGACTTCAACGCAAAGGTAATGCCCGAAGTTGAAAGAGAAGCCGCCCATGCTTCTCCCCAAACACAGGACCTCTGGGTCCTGTACACAGTCGGCGTGTCTAGCGCGTCAGAGTCCGGACTGGGACTCGTACTCAAAGTCCCAACCGGCGAAGTGATTCGCCAGTTCATAAGGTTCCCGGATATGACTAACAACAAGGCCGAGTATGAGGCCATAATTGCAGGGTTAAGGCTAGCACTCAAGTATGGGGCGAAATTGTTAAAACTATACGACGAATCTCAACTCATAGTCAACCAAGGCACAGGGACTTTACAAATCAAGGAACAAAGGTTACAAAAATATCATACCGAAATCTGCAAGTTGCTGCCCGAGTTCGATGAATGTCAACTCGGCCAGATCCCACGAGCACAGAATGCCGAGGCGGACGGTCTCTCCAAACTAGCTGCAGCCACCAAAAACATTGCAACTAGAGACAGAAGTGTGGTCCACCTTCTCAACTCGTCGCTAGAACAAATCGAGGTAAGAACCATAAACTTGACTTGGGACCGGCGCAACCGTATTGTCACCTACTTGCAGGACGACGTATTCCCAAATGATAAAAAAGAGGCCAAGAAACTGAGAATGTAAGCGGCTAGGTACAACATCATCCACAAAAGCTTGGGTCCAAATCAGACGTGGCGCGTCCTTGAAAAGGTCCACGAAGGCCATTGTGGAGCTCATTCCGGCAATCGGGCTTTGATCAAATGTCTCATACGGGCAGGGTATTACTGGCCCACTATGAAAATAGAAGCCGCGTACTTCGTGAAAAAATGCGAGGAATGCCAAAAGTACACCCCAATGATTCACCAAGCAGGCGAACACCTCCACTCGGTCACCTCACCTTGGCCGTTCATCAAATGGGGAATGGACATCGTGGGCCCCTTCCCGGCAGGGCAAGGTAACGTACGATTCCTTCTGGTTTTAACTAACTATTTCTCTAAGTAGGTAGAAGCATGAGCATTCGACCAAATACGTGAACAGGAAGTGATTGCCTTTATATGGAAAAACATCGTATGCCGGTTCGGCCTCCCTAAAAAGATCAGTTACGATAAAGGAACCCAATTCACGGGGAAGAAGGTCGCTGAATTTTTTGAGAAGTGGCATATCAAAAGAATACTTTCGACGCCATACCACCCCGCGGGCAACGGGAAAGCGGAGTCCTCCAACAAGTCGATACTGAACATCATGAAGAAAAAACTTGAAGACGCCAAGGGGCTGTGGCCGAAAATATTACCAGAAGTATTGTGGGCCTACCGAACAACGCCGAAGAAAAACACTGGAGAGACGCCCTACTCTTTAGTCTATGGGACTGATGCAGTAATACTGGTCGATGCTGGGGTGCCCAGTCTAAGATATTCCCATGAGAGCGGACCAAGGAACGATGAAAGTATAAGGCAAGAGCTCGACGAAGTCGAAGAATGAAGAGACATGGCCTACATAAGAATGATCGCCCAAAAACAACAAACAGAACGCTATTACAACAAGAAGGCAAAGGTCAGGCCGCTCAAAGTTGGGGACTATGTGCTTAAAGCTAACACACAAATAAGCAAAGACCCACGAGAAGGAAAACTAGAAACAAATTGGGACGGCCCGTACAAAATCACGGTAATAGGGAACAAAAGGTCATTTCAACTAGAAATAATGGAAGGAAAGCTACTACCAAACAACTAGAATATTACCCACCTCAAATACTTCAACTTTTAAGAGATAAAGCGTCCCCAAGTCGTACTCTTTTTTCCCTCACTTGAGTTTTGTCCCAATTGGATTTTCTTAAGAAGGTTTTTAACGAGGCAACGAAGGAAGACTTTAAGTCGAAGTACGCAAAGACGGAGGCACGGGACGACTAGTTCATTGCTCGACCTCTCAAGCACTCTCCAGTTCGACTAATGAAGGTACTAGATAGACCGGGACTGAGACTGGAATGCCGACCAACGCCCAAAAATTTGTAAATTTCTCCAAGTATATGAACAAAGCAGCAATGCATGAAGTTTATTTCTATTTTTCCAAGTGTAAAACCAAAGCAACAATCCTTAAATTTTACGATGTCGACAAGCTCCGCACCTAGAGGCATATCTTTCTAAACATAGGTTATGTTCGACCTTGTTAGAACTAACACCTACCGACCATCGGCCATAACTAAACATAGGTTATTTTTGACCTTGTTCGAACTAACACCTACCAGCCCTCGGCCATAATTAAACATAGGTTATGTTCGACCTTGTTCGAACTAATACCTACCGGCCCTCGGCCATAATTCAACATAGGTTATGTTCGACCTTGTTCGAACTAACACTTACCGGCCCTCGGCCATAATTAAACATAGGTTATGTTCGACCTTGTTCGAACTAACACCTACTAGCCATCGGCCATAGTCAAACCTGGGTTTTAATTCGACCTCGTTTAAATTAACATATACTGGTCCACGGCCATAATGAAACTCAGGATATGTTCAACCATGTTCGAACTAAGTGATTACGGCTATAAAATCAAGGCAACCAAGCGACATAATTAAAAAACATACAAATACGAACCACAAGAAGAGAATCAGATGCAAATAACGAAGTTGGCATTTCATACTTAGATTATTTTTTACAAAGGCTCATGAAGACGCCACAAGCTACATACAAAAATAAATAAAGAGTCAAAAAAGAAAACTACTGGCCACCACCATCACGGTCTGCGACATCCTCGCTGACTTGGCCCTTAACAACGTCGTCCCCCTGACCTTTAACACCCTCGCCTTCGCCCTCAGGATATGCAGCGGCATACCAGGTGTTCTGATCAAGCTGATCTACACCTTCGTCCACCTCATCCTCGTCAGCCTCTGGCGTAGCAGGGTCGTACCCGCAACCGACTCGAGCTTCGCGAGCCTTAACACGAGCATCTTCATGGGCGGTCCCAGAAATAGATCCCGTCGTATACAAATCTCAAAACACATCTAGTTGGTCCTAGGTGTTAGGGGTATATATTTCAATGCACATGATTGAACTATCTAGATTGCACTTCCACCAAAAGATTGGGTTTCTATTTCTAATTTTACTCTATTGATTGCAAAATAAAGAAAGAAGAATAGAGATAATTGTTTTTGGGTTTTTTTCTAAATTGATAAAAAGCCTAGGGTTGTGACCATCCCAACATATCGTCAATGTAAACTTCTATCAATTTTCCTATTTGTTCTTCGAGCATCCTATTTACTATGCATTGGTATGTGGCACCGATATTTTTAAATCCAAACGGCATTACATTATAACAGTATGTGCCATTTTTAGTGATGAAGGAGGTTTTTTCCTGATAACCCGGGTCTATCCGTATTTTGTTGTACCCGGAATAGGCATCGAGAAAACTGAGGGTCTCGTGGCCTGCCGTGGCATCGATCATACGATCGATGTTGGGAAAAGGAAAAGAGTCTTTGGGGCATGCTTTATTCAAATCTTTGTAATCTATACACATTCTTAGTTTATTCCCTTTTTTAGGGACTACCACTACGTTTGCTAAACAATTCGGGTATTTAACCTCTCGAATGGACCCTATTTTTATGAGTTTAGATACCTCGTCCTTGATGAAAGTATGTTTGACCTTGGACTATGGTCTCCTCTTCTGCTTGACCGGATTAAATTTTGAGTCCATGCTTAGTTTGTGAGTGGTTACTTCTGGTGGGATCCCAGTTATATCCAGATGGGACCAAGCAAAACAATCTATGTTAATTATAAGAAATTGAATAATTTTTTTCCTGAGCTCGGGAGTTAGTCCCGTACCCAGGTATACCTTTCGATCGAGCAAATGCTCGATTAATACAACCCATTCTAGCTCTTCGACCGTCGATTTGGTTGCGTCAGAGTCATCGGGGATTATAAAAGACTGGGGAACCCTTTAATCATCATCTTCGTAAGTATTTTGCTTATTTGATTGGATCGTGACCGAAATCGGTAATTGCTATTTGGCCTTTGGGTCGGCGCCATAAATCGGTTCCTTCGGTGTTGTGAGCGTTGATATCAGAATCACTTCTTCGATGGCAAACATCTCTTTTGCTGCCGGTTGTTCCCCGTAGATTGTCTTGATGCCCCCTGGGACTGGGAGTTTTAGCACTTGGTGAAGAGTTGAGGGTACTGCCCTCATGTGGTGGATCCACGGCCTTCCGAGAAGGGCGTTGTACCTTATGTCCCCTTCGATTATATAAAACTTGGCCTCTCGTACGATTCCGGCGGTATTGACCGGTAACGTTATCTTTCTTTTGGTAGTTGCACATGCCATGTTGAACCCGTTTAGGACTCGGACTGCTGGCATGATCCTGTCTTGTAGACCGAGCTGTTCTACGACCTTAGACCGAATAATGTTGGTCGAGCTACCTAGATCAATTAACACACATTTAATTCTACTTTTATTTACGAGTATAGATATTACCAACACATCATTGTGAGGTTGTATGATCCCTTTCGCATCCTCATCACTGAAGGATAAAACTCCTTCTGGTATGTAATCTTGAGGTTGTTTCTCCCTGGTGATGGAAATTCTGGTGTGTTTCAACATTGGCTCCTGTGGGATATCGACTCCACCGATGATCATATTAATTACGTGTTGAAGTTTGGTATCTTCCTGTTCCATTTCTCAGTTAGAATCCATGTTCCTAAAATGATTCTTGGCCCGGTCGCTCAAGAACTCTCGAAGGTGCCCGTCGTTGAATAGTCGGGCTACTTTTTCTCTCAGTTGTCGACAGTCTTCCGTTCTATGACCGTGAGTTCCATGATATTTGCATACTTGGTTGGGATCTCTTTGAGCTGGATTGGATTGCAGAGGTCGACGCTATTTGGCGTCCTTGATTCGCCCGATGGCTGATACGATGGCAGCGACGTCGATATTAAAGTTGTACTCTGATAGCCTTGGCGCTTCTTTAGGCCCCGTGGGCCTGTCAAAATCATTTTTGGTCATTAGCCCTCGACTGTTTCGACCTTGGTCATTTCTTCTTTCATTTCTTATGCGGTTTCGCTCGGACCCACTGTTCCTCCGCTCTCCATTATAGGGCCGATATAGATCCCTGATTGATCCCGGTTCACGATCGATGCCCCCTTCGCTCTATCGAGAGTCCTGGCGGGACATATAGACTCCGAAGGTGCCCCAAGTTGATCATCTTCGACTCTGATATTCGATTGACACCGATTGTGTACATCGTCCCAGGTAACGACAAGGTATTCTATCAGGTTTTGCTTTAATTGCTGCGAAGCCATCGAGCTTCGAATATTGAGTCTCTGAGTGAAAGCCTGAACAAACCAGTTATCATCGACCGTCGGCAGATCCAATCGTTCCATTTGAAAACGGGACACGAACTCCCTGAGCATCTCGTTTTCCTTCTGTTTGACTTTGAAAAGGTCTGATTTCTTAGTTTCGACCTTGATGGCACCAGCATGTGCTTTTACGAAAGAGTCTGCAAACATAGCAAATGAGTCAATAAAATTAGGAGGTAAGTTGTGATACCATATCATGGCTCCATTCGACAGGGTCTCCCCAAATATTTTCAGCAAAACAGACTCGATTTCGTCGTCTTCCAAGTCGTTTCCTTTGATGGCACATGTATAAGAGGTTACATGCTCGTTTGGATCGGTTATTCTGTTGTACTTAGGTATTTCGGGCATAAGAAATCTCTTGGGGATCGGTTTTGGGGCCGCGCTTGGAGGAAAAGCCTTTCTCATAGCCGTCCTCGGTAATTCCTTTGCCTTTCCCATTGGTTGGCGAAGAAGAACCATCAGCTGGCCGTGAGGTCGATGGCCCCTCTTGTTGCAAAGTATCGAAAACCTTAGCAGTCGGCCCTATGACTTCCATCATCACAGAAAGAAGAGATACGCTCTCTACATCCTGCGCCGATCTCGGAACCTCAGATGCCAGCTTAACGTCACTTTCAAGAATTATGGTCCCCGTCTCATAGAGAGTAAAATCATCCATCACAAAATCCATGGCCCGGGCAGCCCCTTCGCCAATGTCCACTGACCTCCTCTTATGGGGCACCATTTGCCCGTCACTTGGCGATGATTCCCCCCCCTCGTTCACAAGACGATTCAAAGGGGAAGTCGGAAGCTCCACCGTCGGAATATCCACTGGTGGAGATGAGATTGATGTTGAAATAGCAGTAAGTGGGACCGAATAGCGAGCAGACCTAGCCGCGGTCGTACACAGAGCAGAAACCAAAGAGCGAGCAGACCTTGCCGCGGTTGTAGAGGGGCAAACGCCGAAGAGGGAGCATTTTCCTCTTACGGAATGCAGGTGGGGGAGCTCTCGGCCTCCTTGAAGGTCCTCGGGCTGGAATTAAAAGAAGCGCAAAAGAAAAGAGGGTCAACCAGCACAAACTATAAAATGGTAAGCGACTAAGAGTCCAAAACGAAGAGACTCGCCGGTTAAGGAGGGAGCAGGCCCAAACTTCTTAAAAAAGCCTGGCCACCCGCGAATTCCCGCGATATGAGGAAGAAGCCAACCGACCCAGTCATAAATGTCCCCGACTAAAGGAGGGGGCGTAGTCTTGGATGCATAAGAGATAAGCAAGAGATAAGAACTCAAGACTAAGCAAGTAAATCAAATGCCTCGACGAAGAGAAGTTAGACATTTATGAGTATAATTCCAAGTTTCGGGGAAGCCGTCTGCGTTAGCCACCACGTCCTTGGTTCTGACGAAGAAACAATTGTGCCAAAACTATCGTCTCGCCTTATCATCCATCTTCACCACAAGGCACTTGCCCCCTCGATGGAGAAGGTTTAGCATTATCCCCTTATAGAAACTAGGGGCAAAAATATGCATCAAATGCCGAAGCGTGATCTCGACTCCGGCCAATTCTGCAAACTTAGTAAACATCCTAATGAGCTTGTATATAAATGGCACGAGTTGAGCCGGGAAAGCGCCATAGAAACAACAGAACTCTTCTGCCAAGGGGGAAAGGGGAAGAGTGTAGCCAACATGAAAGGGGTAGGCGTAGAACGCCCAATACCCGGGGCGGTGGACTTGTACCACGTCCTGCCCTACAAGGACCAACTCGATGTGAGCGGGAATGTCAAATTTAGCCCTAAGCTCTAATAAATCGGCCTCTTTCATCGCCGACTCAGAGATCTCGCGCTCAGCCTCAGGCGCCTTTGTAAAATCAGACCTGACTTTCTCACCACGAGGAATTATCTTCTCCATCGTGGGGAAGTTCTCATCCTCCACGGCAACAGAGATGCCCTCCGCGTGAGGAGGCAAAACCATGGCCAAGGGAACCGAGTTATTTCCCTCGCTGGGACCAGATGATACGTTAACCATAGTTCTGAAGAAAGAGAGGGTAATCAAGTAACGAAAAGTTAAACGCAAAGAGGATCGCTAGAGCAGGAAAGGAAGACATACAACAATGGAATATGAAGAAGAAGGCACAAGGTTTCAATATGGGAAATCTATAAAACACGTGTGTGTGTCCTCACATCCCTATTTATAAGAATTCGGGCATCGAAACAAATATATTATGCCATCATTACCTATAACAAGTATCGAAGCGGCAGATCTAATCAACAGATGCACGTGAAACGATGCAAAGCATCAGGAAAATGCACCATAATGACGCATGGGGTCATGACGTCACTTTGATCCAGAAACGACGTAACCCCAAAAGTTGCGTCTCACGAAAGGTCGCGTCTCCATCTCGTCTCAAACATCACGACTCGACCCACTCGTCCAATCTTCTCGACCACGACAAATAGAATTCGCTCATCAAGGCCGTATGAGGCCGACCTCAATAAGCGGAGGGACTAACTGTATAGGTCAAAATCTGCCCTAGAATATTTAGGGCAATATAGTACTAAGGAAAGAGTTAGTCGAGGTCGATCAGGAAACAACGAGGTTCGTGGTCAAGATGTCAACAATGGTCGAAATGGAGCACCATTAGCAGAGCTATAACAGCTAATTTTCAAAATAGGATATTAAAGAGAATATTCTAGTGGATATTTTTTGTACTTGTACTATTAGGATTTGTCAGGGGTGTGTCTCATATATATAGGAAAAGATTCTCTCTCTCTTACCAAGAGATAAACAACATCTTTTTATCAAGATTCTTGTCCACATTATTTCATACTTTCCACCAGATCCGAGGATAATTCGAACATTCAAGGATTTGTCTGTCATTCATCATTATTAGAAGGAATAATATCTATCTTCTCCTATATTGGGTGAATTATTTCTTTATTTACCCAAATGCCAATTATTATTGTTCATTGTTATTTAATGCTCATTTATTACTCATGTTATTTGGGATGATTGTCACATCCCATTATTATTTTTCTACCAAATATGTTCAATGTTAATCACGCTCTCATAAGTCGCATTTAGAAATATGATTGTTAACTAGTTTTTTTTTAATCCCTCCCTCCAAGAGCTCCCCACCTTACTCTTGGGGTGACTCGAACTCACAACCTATTGGTTGGATGTGGAGGGTGCTCACCACTAGAGCAACCAACTCTTATTTGTTAACTAGGTTTAACTCCTTAATTCACATATTTAATTATCTGAGCCAAGAACCACACTTTTTAGTCAAACAGTATCTATATTAGAGCTTTGATTAATTTGAATTCGAGTCACGTACGAGGCCATTAAAGGGAAAAATACTCCATATCAGTTTTTTTTTATTTTCAATGCTTAAACTAGAGATCTCTAATAAGTGTAAAGGGATTATATTTATCCCACCATAATTTTTCGTGGTATATCTAATTCACGTGTTCGTCAATTTGTCTATTGGAGGTGATCAAGGAGTTGTTTAATCGTGCCAACTGTTACTTAAAAGTTTAAAGGCTTAGCAAAATGACACCTAATTCATTTGTTCCATCTCATGAGGCACTTTCTTGATATGTTTTAAAAACAACAATACAAAAACAATCCAGTATAATCCCACTATTGGGGTCTGGGAGGGTAGTGTGTACGCAGACCTTACCCCTACCCTAGGGTAGAGAGGCTGTTTCCAATAGACTCTCGGCATTCTTCCCTCCAAAAACTCCCCACCTTGCTCTTGGGGTGACTCAAACTCACAACCTCTTGGTTGGAATTGGAGGGTGCTTACCATTAGAGTAATATCATATTTGTATATTTAACTTCAATTTAATTTTAAATATATTAATTTACTTTTAATGACATATTTTATAATCATAAATATATTATATTTAATTTCACAAGTTCTAAATTTTATTTTACATTCAGTGTCCAGTCAAACACCACCGTATAGTCACGGGAGGGAGTAATATTTATTTATTTGAGCCCTTATAATAGTAACATAAGGAGATTGCTTGCAACATTGAAAAGTAATGTCTATGCACTCTGTTACCACTATTTATATATTACTTGAATCTGACTATGGAGTATTACAGAAAGAAAGAAATGAATCAAGTCTTTAATTTTATATGGTATAATTGGATTTTTCATGTGAGTGTGATCCCCTCATCCCCCACGTCTACAAAATCTCACTTCACACCTTTTTAAAGTAGCGAGTTACTGAGGTGTTCTTAGAAAGTTCACGTGCAATTACAATCATATACTTAACTGACACTTCAAGCCCTTTCCGACTTCTGAGCTTAACTATATATTTAAACAGCTTTTATTTTTCTTTCCTCTTTTCTCTTTCAACTTTTATTCACATGGTCAATCCCAAATTCAAATAAAGGTTAACGATCTAACATAAAATTAATTAAGGCGGAATACATACTGATAAACTAGGCCTCTTTCCATGTGAACTCATTTTTTAGGCATATAATATACCAATTAGATACGTTTTGTGCAGGTGGCATATAGCGTGACTTACATCCTATTTAAGCGCGTGAAGATGGCATAAAAGGAATTTTTTCTTTCCCAATTAAACACATAACGGTAACATCTGTGAAGTAAATATCTCTCTATTTAAACCCTAATCCCTTTCCCAATTGTTAAAAATCTAATTTTGCTGCTCATCACTTTTCCTTCTCTTCTTGGTGTCAATTCTTTTCTTCTCCTCTTCTTTCTCTCGTTCCTGTTGTTGCCGAGTTTACTTTTCTTCTCTTCTTTCTCTCGTTTCTGTTGTTGCCGAGTTTATTAAGGTCGAAACTTAGATAATATCCATTAATGTCGAACTTATCGGAATCGACGAACTTGTCAATGTCACCTTGCGTTGCCGCTCGAATTTATAAGTGTGGTATTTCTCCAAAATTGAATATTTCTTGGACCCAACTAAACCCAGGTCGTAGGTTTTTTGCTTGCAAAATCGGAAAGGTAAATTTTTTGTTCTTAATTGTATTCTGTTTTATTAATTATTTTCTTTGATAAAAATTGATCAAAAATGTGTTTGTGATTTTTGTAAAAAAAGGGTGGATGTGATTATTTCTGTTGGTATGATGATGAGATGCCTACTCAAGCAAGAAAATAATTTGTGGTTTATTAAAGAGAGTCAAAGCTTTTGAAGAGGAGAAAGTTCGAGCAAAAAGAAGACTGATCCTTTTGACCATTGTTGTTGTATTGTTGCTCGTTTTATGAAAACTGTAGGGCTGATGTCGTTCTTGTGTTTTGATGTGGTTTGTAGATTAGTTTGGTTGCTTTAGGTGTTGTTGATGCTGCACTTTTGTAATCTTAGCACTGCGATGTAATGTTCTATTTTGAAAGTAATAAATATTTCAGCTGCTGTTGCTACACTAATTTTTTTGCACAGCTGACTTTTGTTAAAGTGTTGAAGATTGCTGCTATGTAACATTTACAGAAAAGCACCAATTATAGGGTGTTTGCCCAAAACAGAACAAGGCATAGCCAATATCATTGATTACTGCTATGTAACATTGACACAAAGAAACGATCCTTACCAAGTTTAATAAGAACAGGAAGATTACACAACTGAATAGAACCATAAGAGTTTAGTTCTTCAAAAACTAGATCCCAAATTATAATAGGTTGCTGCTACCTTAGAGTCAAGAATAGACCTTGGCTATAGATAATTGTTTGCTGCTACATAATCATATAGTCAAAATATAAGTTCCTAAGATACTACTTTAGTTGAAGTTTGCCTTCATCTGCTGCAACTGGGAAGTTGTGACAGCATCATGACCCTTCCTCCTGTTGGAGTTACACTCTTATAAGCTGAACCACTTGCAAGAACTTTTTGGCTTGATGTTCCGGCTGCACTTTGCCAAATAATGAAGCACAATCAGTAAGTTATTCTAAGTCATTTTATAGATGAAATATGTATGAATATATACATTTAGTATTTGAGTTCCACTTGCAGCTGTGTAGATGCCAAATCCAACATTTTTGGACCTTTTTTCTCCTCCTTTTTCAGCAACTTCTTTACCTGCACCCCTTCCTCTTTTTTGGACAGTAGTTCCTTTACCCTTTGGAGGAAGTTGACTACCTAATCCTCTTCTAGCAGGCCTGCACGAATCTATTGAAGTTGGTGGTGGTTGACTTGAGCTTCTAGCTTCATGAACCCTTCTAACTCTTGTTGTATAATCACAAACAGAGTTTGAGGTTGTAGGTTGGCTTGAGCTTCTTGCTGCAGCAGGTTGGCTTGGTCCTTGTAAGTTTTGGCTACCTTGCTGTGAACACATCCAATTTACAAATTAGTCAGATTACTTAACAGCAAATCAAATGATTAATTCAGTGAAGTGAGTGGGATTACCTTTTGCATATCTGCCATCACAGTCAATCCTTCTCCAGTTTCTAAGTGCAAATCATCTTTCAAGTAGTTGATAAAAAAACTCCAGCTATGCTTTGTCTCCTGGTCCACAATTTCCCATGCTATAGGAAATATTTATTGATTTTCATTCTTGCCAACAGCAACTAGAAGCTCACCTTTACAAGCACCCTTTAAGAAACAACCATCAAAACCTATGATTCTCCTACATCCTTCTAATCAACCTTTCTTCAATGCATCAAAGCACACATAAAAGTAAACAAAAAATTTTTTTCCTGGCTCAGTTTCACTGTCCATCCTTATCCAACATGAGCTACCAGGATTGGTCTGTTTTATCATATCGGCATAATCACATAACCTTGCAAACTCCATATTCCAATCACCCATGGACTCTCTGAGAATATGCAGTTTAACTCTATAATAAATTGTCTTGCGAACATACAATCCTAGCTTGTCCCTGCATAACTCCTGTATTTCCCATATCCTTATGTGGGGCTGCTTAGTTATTTCCTCTTTGAATTTTTTTGCAATAAACTTTGAAGTACACAACTTATTCTTGTTTGAAGTATCACATTTGTGTACTGGGTAGTAGTTCTTTACTTTAAAATCACCAAAATCTCGATCAATACAAGCATAACACACCCATTTGCATCTCTTTGATTTACACTTAGCCCTCACCCTATATAGTTCATTTGGTCTCAATTTAATCTGCACCTTGTACTCAATTGCATAATTTGCTAATGCTTTCCAAAACTCTATAGCATTCTCAAAAATCATCCCAAGTTCAAATAGCAACTTCACAATTAGGATCATACGTGACTTTTGTACTCCTCCTTCTTGCTGGTATATCAACACCAGGAATGGCTTCAGGATCTAACTCTTCTATGCTATCTTCACTATCAGCCTCTGAACTATCAATAAACTGCTCATCCCCACCTAAATTACCTACATATCTGGAAGCCTTGTTTCTTTCAATATCCTCAAATTCTCTGTCAATACCTGCTTCTCCTAGTGGTATCTCCTCTGTTGCAATTGATTTTTTCCTCTGCTTACCCTGCCTCTTGCTCCTCCTTTCAGCCCTTAAAAATTTCAATTCATCATCAACCTCTGAATCATCTTCTTCAGGAAGAACATCTACTTGTGAGTCACTACTGTCAACATCTGATTGCACTCCATTTTCATTAACATTATGATCTTGTTCAGTACCATTATGAGTTGGTTCAGAACCATTATGAGTTGGTTCAGCACCATTGTGAGTTGGTTCAGCACCATTCAAATTTGATTGAGCATCATTGAGATCTGAGATATTTTCTAACTCTTCCTCAGGTGGCTCAATAGGTTCTTCAGTATTTATATTACTCTCAGGTGTTGCCCTAGCTTTAAATTGGTCATTACCACCCCTGCCTACTTTTGTCCCACATAAAAGACCAATTACTTCTTCGAGTACTTCAGGCTGACTCACCACATGACGCAAATAAACATTCAAAATATCACCATGTTATAAATCTTTCACAAATTTAAATAATTGAAAATCATATACGACTTTGATAAATTCACCATTTTTTCTTTTTGACCAAAAAACCCTTCGACAGCTGCATACCCAAGGTCTTTAGCATAAGCGGACAACTCAACAATACTGAAATGGTCTTTATCGATAGAAACAACAAAGCCATCTAATTCCCCTTTGTATATTGGAGCAGGTTCTTCGATAAATATACCCCATGGTGAAAACGAGTTAAAATATAGTCATCCATAATATTCCCTTACATAAAACGCCAAGGGACCATCATAAAGGAAAACCCCAAAAAAATCCTAGCTTTATCAATAACTTAAAAAAAAAGCCCTAACTGCAGCAATAGAAAATAAGGAGAGATCGGATCTTTAAGCATTGTAAATACCGTAAGAGATCAGTAGAAATAGTAGATTCCAACAACATTGACGGAAAGAAGAAGAAGCTTATGTAACAGTGGTTTCTTTCTTTGTTTTCATCGATGGAAAAGGAATAGGGTTAATTTTGTTTAGATCGTTTGTTTATGGTTTATTTGTGTATTTGATTGGAAATAAGACTATATAGGTGAGGTGGATAATTAAATGATGTGGCACAATTTTAATGGTTATTTGTTCCACGTAGACGGAGATGGCAGACACGCGCTTGGTGAATTCATAAGCCTGCACAAAACGTGTCTAATTGGTATATTATATGACTAAGAAATAAGTTCAGATGGAAAGAGGCCTAGTTTAAGTGTCTAAATAAAAAATGATGTCAACTTTAAGTGTCTTCGTATGTATTACGCCATTAATTAATTTATGATGATTTATTACGATACAAATTACATTCCGACATATTCATTCAAACATACATCACATCTACATTCAGGTATGATGATAAAATGAGCGATGAACTTAAATGAAACAACATGAACATTAAAAACATATTTATATAATTGATTTTAATTTGCTCGAGATTGAAGCATATATTGTTGTTATTATTATTATTATTATTTTCTGTCTCGGGGCTTTAGTGTAGGTTTTGGCTGGGAGTAGGAGAGGGGG